AGAAGTAGAAAGTACAGGTATTTGGGTTCAACATGTAAGAAGTAGAAAGTACAGGTATTTGTGTTCAACATGTAAGAAGTAGAAAGTACAGGTATTTGAGTTCAACATGTAAGAAGTAGAAAGTACAGGTATTTGTGTTCAAAGTGTAAGAAGTAGAAAGTACAGGTATTTGTGTTCAACATGTAAGAAGTAGAAAGTACAGGTATTTGTGTTCAAAGTGTAAGAAGTAGAAAGTACAGGTATTTGTGTTCAAAGTGTAAGAAGTAGAAAGTACAGGTATTTGTGTTCAACATGTAAAAAGTCTTCAGAAAAATAAGTAGTGGAGTAAAGTACTGATACCAGAAACATGTACTTAAGTACAGTAACAAAGTATTTGTACTCCACTACTTCCCACCTCTGAGATGTGGTTCTGTGGTAATGAGTCATGTGACAGAGGTCCAGAGGGGTTTAACTCCTCAGAGACTCAGTGTGTTGTTAGGCCTGAACAAAGACAGATATCAGCTCCATGTTGAGAGCAGCGTGTTGTTAACAGAAAAAGCAGATTGTTCACCAGACAAAGACTCTCACAGAAATGTGCCACGGTGCAACTCCTCCCCCTCTCAGTGCTCTCATGTATCAGAGGCAGGTCCACACAGGAGAACAGGCAACATCAGGATTGAATCTCCTCTGGCGGTTACTAGAGTTCAGAGCAGGCTGCTAGGCTGTTTGTCAGGAAACGCCCTAATGCTCCGAGTGCTGGAAGCACACAGATCATTAACTCTACTCAGATCCCACACGTCTGAAGGAGAATCTCTTTGTTTGGATGTAAAATTGACAAAACTGCCCTTAGAGTCACATTATCCTGTAGTTTCTTTGCAGGAATCATGATTAGTGAAGCTGCCAGATAGAGGAGTACAAAGTACAGTATTTCACTCTTAAATGCTGAGGGATGTACACAGAAGTACCTCAGATGGTACAGAAGTAGAGTTCTGCTATGAAGCCTTTAAAAGCTTATGAAACTCAACATGACTCTAAAACAGGAACAGGAAATGACTGCTGCTGGGTAAAGTCACGGGGTTTTCAGTCTCATGAGAGATGTTGTGTTCCCATAGAAACCGTCAGTAACTGTGAGTCACTTGAGAACTGAAAGGCATTTTCTTTCCCATTTTAATGATGTTAACATCATTTATTTTTTTAAATCACCAAAAGTAATAATTTCTCTCTTTTTACAATCCATCAGTTATCGGGGGAAAAGCAGAGAATCCCAAATAAAGTTTGAAATGAGTTAAAATAAAGATTTTCTTTTGTATTAAAAACTATTATTTCTGAATAAATGGTAAAACTATGTTGAAGGTTAAAGACAAGGCAAGTTTATTTACACAGCACTTTTCAACACAAGGCAATTCAAAGTGCACACTAATGAAAGACATGAAGAGCATTAAGAAACATATAAAATGACATTTAAAAACACTCATTTAAAATCACAGGTACATGAATTAAAGTCACAGAGCAGTGTGAGAGACACACATCTGAAAGGTTGAGCTCTGACTCAAACATTGATCACTTTCTAGCAGAAATAGTTTTCTATGACCTCACTTTCTTTCTACTTTCTTCTTTAACTTGTCCTTTAGTTATTTCAAGTGTTTCGTGCTAAACGAACCCCCCTTTGGAAGATTCTCATCTGACCCCATGGTACCTTTTAGAAACTATTCCTCTTTTTAAATGCACATAGTTAAGTTTACCTTGTCTTTGTAGGACTTTTTTGGTGTCCTCCATGAACCAGGGTCTTGAAACCCTAACGGCACACGTAGGGGTCTTTAACCCTAAAAATACTAAGCCTGAATATATCAAAAGCAGCAAAGAGGAAAGTCTTCTTGCTGGATTTCAAAGTAGTCTTCGTTGCAGCGGACCTGCAGGTTTCTGGGAGTTTGTTCCAGATGTTTGGAGCATCATAACTGAATGTTAAAGAGATGTTTCAATGTTATATCAAATAAAGTTATGTTTAGTACATTTGTATTTATTTTGAAAATTGTTAATATTGTTAAAAGTGTTAAAGGTGGGGTAGGTAAGTTTGGAGAAACCGGCTTGAGTGCACTAGAATTTGAAAATAAACAGCCGGAGAAAATCTGCCACTTCCTCACAGAGCCCCTCCTCCAACACACACGAACCATGACCAATGAGGGCACGAGATAAGTTTGTGCACAGATGGAAGGCTGACAGGCAGGTAGGCCATCCAGTTATTTTAGCCGGGCCGGCTCAGATGATTGGTCGTGCTTTTTACAGTACCACAGCTTCCACTGATGAAATTTATTTATGTATTTCTTGTCAAAGCACTTCAGATATTCATTGCTATCAGGATGTTAAGAGCATTCCATGGAATATAACAAAAAGTGTATCTCGAGCCGGTTTCTCAAACTTACCTACCCCACCTTTAATATAGTTTTCTCTTAAAATGTGTATTTGTATTGTATGCCCTGTAAAAATAAAACAATTAAGGAAAAAATTAGCTGATGAATAAAAAATATAATATTTCTAATATCTTTTTAATTTTGTACTTAAAAGAGTATTTTTTATATGTTTTACTTTTACTGAAACTGTTTTGATGGTTTAGAAGATTTTTAAATAATTGAGCCTGTTGTTCTTCTTCTGGATAAATAATGTCAAAGTTGAGCTGAAGGGTTAAAGTCACGGTTAGAAACATCATTATAATTAGAGTTAGTGCTGGTTAAAGATAACCAGATGAGGCTCACAGATGTTTAAATGTTCGTCTCGCTGTCGGTGTCTCACTCCTCTTTCCTTCTCGCTCACAGCTTCAGCCATTTTCAAAAATCTTTCTTGAACTCAATTTCCTCAAGATTTCTCTTGAAAGTCCACATTTGTGCTCCACTACAAATCAAAAGGAAATATTGTACTTTGTGCTTCACTATCTTACATAGAGTTGATCAAGTATAAGGTTCTGTTTTTACACATTTTTTAAAATATTGTTAGAAATCCTTGAGCTATTACGTTTTTGTTTGTTAATATTGGATTTTTTACTACAGGGTACTTTTTACGTGTAATATTCAAACAGCATTTAGCTAATTATACTTTTACTTACATGTAAGTAAGATTTTCATTACCAGACTTTCACTTTTAATAGAGTATTCTTACAGTGTGGTATGAATATCTTTACTTAAAGGGGACCTATCATGCAAAATGCACTTGTGTACGTCTTTTCTACATGAATATGTGTCCCCGGTGTTCCAGGGAACTCACCAAGTGTCAGAAAACACAACCCTCTCTATTTTCCTCCATACCCAAATCTCTAAAAAAGGGGCTGCAACGGATCTGATAAAAACTGATCCAGATTTGAACACTGTCCTGACGTCAGGACGGTGGCGCTACGGCTATTGGGCCAACTCCACCAATCAGGAGGAGACAGCCACGGCCATTGCCGTTCGAAAGCGCTGGAGACGCTGTAGTACATATGCCAGGCCTGTAGGTGGTGCTGTTCTCACTGAATCTGCCCAGAGCTAAAAAATGTCAAATTGAGCGAAATGAGGCATGGCTAAAATGCATGATCTGTTTGGTATTTTGAAAAAAAAAAAGTATAAATATGCCTTATATAGGTATGGTCCTACACTATATTATTACAATATAGCATGATAGGTCCACTTTAAGTAAAGGGCCTGATACTCCTTGGACCTGTATGTATGAGTGACAGTATATCAATGTGTTTCTGTGCCTGCTTTGTTTAATTTAACGGATGTATGTATTTGTATTTGTTCAAATCATTGTAAGCTGTAGATTCATCATGGCTTGTATCAGACAACAGAACAAAAATAAATGTGTTGTTTAAAAGTGTGTACCGTTTCATGTTTTGTAGTAGCCTTAGTGTAAAACAGTTTTATTGAATAAGAATTGCATTTGATGATAATAATTATATTTAAATATTACCTACATATTTATTAAATGAAAGATAAGAATAGCAAGTAAAAACAACCTGGAGATTTGTAATAAGATGCAAATGTAACCTTAAGTAACATCTACTATACAATAGTAAATAAAATGTACTTACAAAAACTGAGTGTGACAGTAAAGTTTACTTAAGTGCCTTTAGTAACAAACACTTCTTAACTGTAAGTAGAAGCTACTTGAAATATACGTTTTCTGAGTGCGTTTTCTAGTAAATCTTACTCCCCTATTTTTGTCAGTGTACACAGTTATTAACGGCATGTATATATATATATATGTATATATATATTGCACATAGTTGGTTGGTATTTAACAGCAAGGGGTGTTATAGTCGGCGGGGGGGGGGGGGGTCTACTAGGGGCTGTGCTGGTTGTATAGTCTGACGCTGAAAGGATAGTGCAGTAGAAGTATAACGTAGCAGACTAAGGAAATACTCAAGTTAAGTACAGTTATGTCAAAATTACGCTGACCTTTGAAACCTTTGAAACCTTTATTATTGGCTTTTTGAGTAATAATGTAGAAAGTATGAAATATAAACGTCTCATCAAGACATCACGAGTCGAGTCTCCCTTTGTCAAACAGAAAGCTAAATACTTTCAGCTTCACCTCCACACACTACAGACCTACAGGGGGGGGGGGGGGGGGGGGGTACTCAATAACATGTCTTTGAAGTACATTTCAGCCAGGATATAAGGTGTTTAAATCTTGAGATATGCAATTAAAATAAGAACACATTATATATAAAAATAGAACTTCAGTTTAATAAAGTAAATACAACATATATCACTGAAATACATGACACAGTGCAGAGTTGTTTGAGTTGTAAGCACATACATGTTCTGTTCTCAACGGTTTAGATAGATAGATAGATCGATCGTACTTTATTGATCCCAAATTGGGAAATTGTTTTTGTTACAGCAGCATAAAAGGCATTTTACAATAAAACAAAACTACAAAATATACAAGAATAGAAAAGAAAATATAAAATATACATGCAGATATTATATATATATATATATTCAAAATATATGGAATATGGAGTATTAAATATGAAACAGATTATGTATGAGTAAAATGTACAACGTGGTTTTATTTCTAGAGAAGCTATGGAGCAGAGAGTTCTCTTCCAGCCAGAGGGGATTTGTTGCACAGAGTTATTGGGCAGGAATGTTTTCCAGTATCTGTCCTTGAGACAGGGGAGCGCGGGGGGGGGGGGGGGGGGGCAATTTATTATCATCTGACATTTGTTCATTTCTCATTTCATCTAATCGTTTATTTGAATAGGAGCAATGCACTTTAATGAACACTTTAGAGAAATAATACTTCAAGTATAAATATGCTTGATTTTAGCTTTGAGCTCATTTCCACCCGTAGTCCCTGACATACAAGAACATGACATTTATAAAGATAGCAACAATAAATACATGATGTACAAAAAGAGCATGAGCAGCAATTCATTATCTGTGGATGTTCTGATTCAACTTCAATTATTGAACACAAACAACTTCTTATTAGTATAGTTTTTAACCCTTTAGCACTTTCAGGTTAAACAGGTGCTGGGTTTGATTTCATTATTTCACATTTCATGTAAATCTACTTAGTAGAAAATAAATAAACATTTTAAAGTCTTATCAAGACAATCATTTACAGATGTACGTATGACGTATATTTTAACCGTGTACTTAGTATACATATACTGGAAATATTATCTGTAAATACATAAACCTGAAGCAGATATTTCTGCAGCTATACGTAAACACAAAGTACATCTGAAATGTATCACTGATATATCTGTACGACAGATACACAGTTTAAGACCTCTTTACACCGACTTTAGTTTGAAATTGACCTGCTGATATTTAAATAAACCCCTCACCATGAATCCCTTCCAGGCTCTGACACACAAAGACCAGATCAGACGCCATGTTGTCAGCGCTGTGTCTGAAAGATAGGCTTCACTGTCGATCCTACGTGTTCAGCAGCAAAGTCAATCCTTCTGATTGGCCGATCACTTAAGGATAATATTTTAGCACTCTCTCAGACTGAAGTTAGAAACTGAATCACGTTTGGTTAACCCTCACCAGGTGTTTGTGTCTCAGGGGGTAAAGCCCCTCCACCGCGTCAAGGTAGAGATTCATGGAGGAGATGATTTAGTTTAGAAGCAGGTGATGGAGGACAGTCAGGTGTGAAGAGGTCTGGGACATGTCTGGGGTTCAGTTCAACATTCACTTTCTCATCAACACTCTCTGATGGTCTCTTCTCCTTAGCTCTTTTAGATTTCACAACAAGTCCAGCAACGACAGCAACAACGATGAGACAAACCAACCCAACTCCCAACCCAACGTATCCTCCGGGACCCCCTGGTTGTTCATCGTTGGCGTCTCCATTCTTCAGGTGCTTCTCAGAACCTGAGGACAGAAACAGAGAGCAGTGAGGAAACGACTGGACCCCCCCTCATGTTGGAGAACAGCTGATCATGAAGGTGATGAAGAACAGAATCTGTTTCCTCTCCAGTCTCATGTCAGACATTATCTACCGATCACAGAGCATCAACATCATCTTTAAACATGCCAATGGAGGAACTCTTCAGGAGAAACACAAACTCACCTTCAGAGACGCTCAGAAGGACGGAGTGCACAAACTCTCTCACGTCTCTCTTCCAGCGATTATTGTAGCGAGTTATAACCCGACACTTGTAGGTTCCCGTGTCGTTGGTGCTGACGTTCTTCAGGAGAATAGTAAAGTCTCCGTTCTTCATCTCTGGGTCACTCAGCTCAACACGACCTCGATAACGTTGATTCTGGAAGATTTCCATCGACTCGCTATCTCTGTAGTAGAAGACGTACTGCTCCAGCTCAGATCTCTTCCACTCTAACACAGTGATGGCAGCATCTCTGGAAGTGTGGCACTGAAGAGTGACGTTCTGTCCAGGCCTTGCATTCACCTCTTCTAGATCTGGAGAAAAACAGAAAGGCAAAAGTCAGTTATTTCATTTTGAGCCGTTTGTATATTTACAAGGAGTCTTGGAAGCAGCGGCAACATCAGATTAAAAAAAAGGTTTACAAAAACAGAAATGCCACTAAAGACTGGGGTTTTGTTATTATATAATTGTTTAATTATTCCTCTGAGAGAAGCTGGATTCCAGTGGTAGATTCCTACATTTATTCTAATACTTTACTTAAGTATAATTTTGAGGTATTTTATTAGTACATTTGCATCTATGATACTTTATACCTCTGAGTCAGTGATCGTGGTAAAGCTCACGGTCCTGTGCGAGGAAGGCATGGAAGCAGCCTTTGAAAGGAATAAGGAGAAATACAGAAAGCTTCATGAACTTAAGCTGGATGTCCAACTATCAAGTGGAACTCTGATGCAGAGAATATCCATCCAAAGATTCCTCAAGGCTGGAGGAATGACCGGATGCAGACAAAAGAAGAAGTGGCTGAGCAAGGGAGTCTCTGGATAAGAAGGAATGATGCAAACTGGGGTAAGCAAGGACCTCAGATCATTGCAGACAGTGGTGGATATACACCAGCACTGAAATGCGTAGTGCCTGGACCGAGAAAGAGGAACAAATCAACATAACATTGTAATATTACAGAACAACACAGATACCATTCTCATTTATTCATTTTATTTACATGTTATTTATATAATTAAATCGATGTTTTTGTTTTTTTTTATCCGAGTGTTCCAGGGTATTCTCTGAACACTAAAAAAAGAATTAAAATATGTCTGTAATATAGGCCTACAGTACTCATATGTTCTAGCCCATCTTTTGTGAAATATGTTATGCCAAGAATGAGTGTAGGAAGTTGTGTTATAGTTCCAACAGTTCCTATTCTGAAAAGGTAATAGGCCTACATTGTGCATACTGAAATGAAAGCTTTATTTAACTGCATCAAAGAAGACTTGAGAGGGCAGTTTGGGAGTTTAACTTTAACTATAGAGATGCCTAATTCTGTAAATAAGTTATTTAACGTGTGTTCTGTTCGGTTTGTGTGTTGAAAGATTTAGTATTTTCATTCTATATCTTATGTGTCCTTTTATTTATTAATGTATGTTTCCAACTACTTTTTATATTCATGTGTATTTTGTGATATTGTTATTTAATTTGTGTAGTTATTTTTGATTGTAAATATTGTTCTACTTGTGTGTTTGAGAAATGTGTGCAATATAGCTATTTCATTCTGAATTGGAATGCGTCTTTTCATTTATTCATATCACCCACTCTTTAAACCCTCTGCTCTGGGTCCGTGTACGTTTTGTTAGTTGGATTTTTCGTTTGAACCAAAAAAACGAAAATACCAGCCTTTTTTCCTTTTAAATCAAAAACGAAAAAACGGGAAACCAAAGCAGTTTTCCCGTTTTTGTTGTATGAATAAAAAAACGGAAAACAAGAAGACCTAATAAAAAAAACGGTCCGGTTTTGGTTTTTGATAACAACTTCATTCAATGTTCCGTTTTGTATTGAAGAATGAAGAAAAGCAGTCCGGTGGACCGGAAGTTAAAGAACATAATATATAATGGCAATGCTGTAAAGGTTAAATCCTGGAACCCAGAAGTCTGACGAGGATACGTTTATTTCTGCATTCACATGCAGATATGCGTTTATGGAGAATACAAGTATGCAAGCTCTGTGCATAACTTTAAATTCGCTGACTTCCGGTTTGTACTGTGTCTGTAAATCCAGTGTCCAGCTTGTCGCTGTGTGACAACCATAGACTGGTGACAACGTCATGTGTGTTGCATACCTGCAAGATTTACCTGTGACAAATGTCAGGGATATATCAGTATGTATAAGAAGTTGTAAGTAGAAAACATTTAGGAAAAAAGATGACTTCTTATTTACTCCTTAAAATAGCACTATGTTATTAAACCAAAATGTTACCCTAAAAGAAATAATACAAAGCAAACTGAATACGTATTTATTTTGTTTCTCTTCTTACAGGTGGGGCTGAAAGACTCGACCCCCGTTGAGCTGGAGCATCATGGCTGCAGGTGTGACGTGTGTTACTCTCCTGCTCCAGTCACATGACTCCCAGTGGGTCCCCAGTACTCAGCTGTACAGAGCAGCAGTGGTACAAACCAAGAACTATGGCAAGTCTAAGAATAATGTCATGAAATACTAAAACGACACACTCATCATGTCTCATACACACATCATCTCATCATTTCTATATCTGGCTTAAACCCAGTGTGTAAAACCAGGCCCGGTAGAGCACATGGCTGGGATGTCCGCAATCCAAAGCAGAGAACAATGTCAGAGAAAGTCAAGTGAGAGATGAGTAGTTATGTGAAAGTAAGCTATGCACACAGAATAGTTTATGTGTTGATGTGTCTGAGAGCTGAGAGCTGCTGGATCTGTCTGCCCTCAAAGTGCCAGGGTAACATTTTGGTTTAATAACATTGTGCTATTTTAAGGAGTAAATAAGAAGTCATATTTTTTCCTAAATGTTTTCTACTTACAACTTCTTATACATACTGATATGAATTGATTTACTTTTATACTATGAACGAAGAAAAATAACTCTTTAACAACAGAACAGGAACAAATCACAGCTGTGACCTCTGTGCAGCACACACAGACCAGTCAGTCCAGTTCTGGGGAGTAGCTACCTTGTGCTAGTTAGCACACACAGACCAGTCAGTCCAGTTCTAGGGAGTAGCTACCTTGTGCTAGTTAGCACACACAGACCAGTCAGTCCAGTTCTGGGGAGTAGCTACCTTGTGCTAGTTATATTAAAGTGTATGTCTGACTATTGGCTGGGTCTAACCTGTCTAAAATGAGCCACATCCCCAGGAACATGTTCAACCAGACGGTAACTAAGACAGTAACAACACTTCATCCTGAACTCACTGTGGGGCCTGTCTTCATGGACCTGTAGCATAACACCCTGACACTAAGAATGCACATACTGTCCCTCCTCTGTCTTTCAATGTAACTTGTTGAAGAAAAACAATAAGTTTAACGTTACAGAAATAAAAGCTTAATTACTCACCCTCCTAATTGTAGACGTAACTTCATAAGTACAACTTGAAACATGTCTCCCGCTTGCTGCTGGGTGCAGGTGAAAGTAGGTCGACATTTCTGTTTACATCCCTGACATTTGTCACAGGTAAATCGTGTAGGTATGCAACAAACATGACGTTGTCACACAGCGACAAGCTGGACACTGGATTGACCAAATAACTACACACTCTTATTTACATTTGACACGTTATTCAAAACCAACAGCCTGTGTGTTGTTTGCTAAACACTGCCACTGAAATACCAGACTCAATGATCAAACCCCTGCCCCCAGAAACATGTTAAAAGCCACGTAACCAATTAGATCACTTATGGCGCGTTTCCACTACACGGCCTCGCTCGGCCCCGCTCGGTATGGCTAGGCCTCGTTAGGACTGGCTCACTTTATGGCGCATTTCCATTACAGTTTAGGAACTGGGGTAGTATCAGTGTAGGCGGAGCCGTGACGTGATCTTCAATGAGAACCCCAGAAAAACAACACAGCCGTTAGCTGTGAGCACTCACAGCTCACAGCTACTTATATATGTTCAGAAACTAGACAACAGTTAAACAAGTACAAACCACAGACTGCCTGTGTCATGGCGAATACAGTCGCTGCTTTATTTATGTCTGTATAGGCCGTTGTTGTGAGTGTGGACGGTCGGGGCATATATTGCGTTAGCTTAGCCAATCTCCATTTAGAAAACAAGCATTTTAAAAGGTGTTTCGCCTGCCGTCTGTCTGCAGACTTGACAAAGCATTAATTCATGGTTTTTACTAACCGGTATCAGTATGTTGTTACTTCGGCATCATTTTGAAACGTGTATTACAATTAAATCACGGTCAAATATGTCCATCTTGTTGTAGTTGTAGCCCCCTTGCCAGCGACGCTCTCTCTAGTTTAGCATGCTCAGCCCGACTCAGCCTCGTTGTCTCTGGCCCTAGACCCACGATTTTATGAGGCCAGAAAAACTGTGAATTAGGACCCGCCGGCCGGTACTAGGCCAAGTGGAAACGCAACCAAAGACGGGCCGCTGACGTCACAGCCCTCTTAAACCGTGCTCCGCGCTGTAGTGGAAACGCGCCATATGAAACCTTAGAAACACTTTGTTGTGCACAACAATGGAGGCCACTTTTGGAGAGAGAGTTAGAGGAAGAGGTAAATGCAATATACTGTATTTTGTCTTCAGTACCATACAGTAACTATGTTCATGTCATCTTCACTCTCAGTAAAGTCATTGTGTCTGATACTGTTATGAGTATTGAGAATAAACCTATGTGTGTGTTTCCACATTGCATGTGTTCATTCCATATTTACAGCGTGCTACAAATGAAAATGCCTAAAACTTTGACTTGAATGTCTTGTTTATTAATCAACTAATGGACAGTGTTTCAATTCAGTTCATGTAAGCCTTACACACACTCTTTTGAGCGTCTAGTGATTATGGCCTGCATGTCTTTCTGTTCTAACTCAGCTGTCAGCTTCTTAGAGTTTAGACAAACATCAAATTCATAATGTAGACTAGTTGGACAAAATAATGCTTAACAACTGTTCCATTATTGAGTGAACTGTTTTAGGGGTCGACTGATATATCGTTCTCCCGCTTGCTGCTGGGTGCAGGTGAAAGTAGGGCGACAGGTCACAGGTAAATCTTGCAGGTATGCAACACACAGGACGTTGTCACCAGTCTATGGTTGTCACACAGCGACAAGCTGGACACTGGATTTACAGACACAGTACAAACCGGAAGTCGTACAAACCGGAGGTCAGCGAAATTAAGTTATGCACAGAGCTTGCATTAATCTCTATAAACGCATATATGCATGTGAATGCAGAAATAAACGTATCCTCGTCAGACTTCTGGGTTCCAGGATTGAACCTTTACAGCATTGCCATTATATATTATGTTCTTTAACTTCCGGTCCACCGGACCGCTTTTCTTCATTCTTCAATACTGTCACTACCCGATCTGTCCCCCTGCCCGATCTGTACTGCGCATGTGCTGACGGTCCGCTATATTGGACAACTACATACGGCAACTCTACTAGGACACTTGACACAGTGGCTTTTGGCAAAGCAGAAAAAGAACCGAGAGAGATTATTGTTATTACAACGTGACTTCACTATTATTTAACAACTCTTTGTATTGGGTTCTTTTATTTGGGGTTAAATACATTGTCAGAATAAGTGAGACATGGATTTAACTTCTGTTAGACAGCTATCATACTGAATACATATTTACTGTGAATGTATGCAAACATGTATGGCATATAGCTGTCTAACAGAAGTTAAATCCATGTCTCACTTATTCTGACAATGTATTTAACCCCAAATAAAAGAACCCAATAAAAATAGTTGTTAAATAATAGTGAAGTCACGTTGTAATAACAATAATCTCTCTCGGTTCTTTTTCTGCTTTGCCAAAAGCCACTGTGTCAAGTGTCCTAGTAGAGTTGCCGTATGTAGTGGCGGACCATCTCGCACATGCGCAGTACAGATCGGGCAGGTGGACCGATCGGGTAGTGACAAATACAAAACGGAAAATTGAATGAAGTTGTTATCAAAAACCAAAATCGGACCGTTTTTTTTATTAGGTCTTCTTGTTATCCGTTTTTTTATTCATACAACAAAAACGGAAAAACGGCTTTGGTTTCCCGTTTTTTCGTTTTAAATAAAAAACGAAAAAAGGCTGGTATTTTCGTTTTTTGCCTTTTGGTTTAAACGACAAATCAAACTAACAAAACGTACACGGACCGCAGAGGACTCCCCAAGTGCTGTGTTGATTTATTTTAAAGTTGGCCTGTGGATTTTTTTTTATTCTCCTTATAAGAGTTCTTTGTTTATTATTAGAGGTTAACAGTTTTCTATAATTTAAAAATAATAAATGCAAAAAAACTAGTTTTTGTCTTTGATGTAACAATATATACAACTTTATAAGCTATCAAGCTATCAAATATGTTTTGCGGCTACACCATATCAGCTAGAACCGTAACTGGTTTGACAGCTGTAGCTACTTTACAGATTATTAGCTAATACAAAAAATAAAAATACACTTGTAATAAAGTCATTATAACAGCAAACAAGCTGACGTCACTGGTGACGGGCAAAACACAGGCAGCATTTAAAATGTTAGAAAATGGTTGGTACACTACAAATATAAGATTATCTCTATAACCATGGAGTAGTTTGGTGATGTAGTATGGTGTACAAAGACACACAAAGAGTAGCAGACTAGCAGGCACCGGCATTTGTTTTCAAATTACCATGAACAGTAATTTACACACATCTGGCTAACTCCATAGGTATATTCCCTTCCCAAGTTTCGTTTAATCTTCTCGATGTAGTGCTTAGTCCTGTCGGAGTGCACCGGAACGAACGACACTATCATAACAGTGAGGCGTGTGGCGTAGTGGGTAGAGCCTTGGTATGGGGATCAGATGGTAACGGGTTCAAACCCCACTGCAGTCAGCATGTCGTTGTGTCCCTGAGACCCTTCTCCCCAAATTGCTCCTAACAAGCAACATGTAATGTAATAATATCTTACACACACACACACACACTCACTCACCTCCTGCAGCCACAGAGCCGATCCACAGTAACATGAACAGCCCCACATGTTGAGCAGCCATGAGAGCAGCTGGCGAAGAACAGGAAGTGATCTGAACTGAGTGTAGTGCGAACCGGTCTGTGGCCGTGTCTCAATTCAGGGGTTTCATCCTTCGAAGGGTGCATTCGTAGACCGCATACGTCACTTCCGCCGAAAGAAGGCTGTCCCAATTTAAAAAAAAGACGAGACTCCTCCGAATGCGGCCCACGAATGCAGCCTACTTTTCCCCAATTTGAAGGATACATCTGATGTACACTCCGCGGCCTACCATATCCCAGGGTGCAATACGCGCAGGGAAGAGTGAGTTTTTTTCAAATGAAATGGCTTCCGGTCTCCCCAGCAGAGTGGATTTAAAAGCAGCAGCAAGCGGAGGAATCACTAATAAATGTGAGTATTGGGTTTTAACTTACTTTAAATTAACTAACGTCACACACGTCAAACCCAAGGGGCATTAAAACGTACATTTTCGTTAAATAATACGGATAAATATGTGACGCTAACTAGCTAGCTGGACGTACTGCACTGTTGTTTACACTTATTTTTAATTCAATTCAGAAGTTTACTAAAGTCATACAGAGATCGTGGCTCTGTTATAGATAAGTTATACTTTATATTGCATAAATAGACCAAAGTGAAAACATTTAGACCGGTATAGCCTACAGTACGGTGGGATTTATAAAAGGCTACCCTGACGTGTAGCTGCTGTTAGCTTTATGTATTTCTCTGACATGTTGCAATGTTTTACTGTTTATTAAACTTTGGGACAACATTACAACCTTTGTGTTCAGCTCATGCTGCTTTGAGGTAGGGCTAAAAGAAAAGCCTATTTTAAATATTTCCACCAGATTTGATCATCTTTTATAAGGTTAAAGTTTATTTAATGTATCCTAATCCCATAATAATAAGACAATCAAAAATAGACAGCAGCCTTTTGCTTGATGTTAGTTTGTGCAGTGCTGTCAAAGGGATGCACGTGTGACTGTCATTTCATCTCTTTAGTTTTTTTAAAAACCAGAACAGTACATCATTTTAAATGATCCTTTAGGGATTGTTTGTCTGACTCTGAAATGCTTAGTTACATTTTGCAATAATACTTCTGCAACCCTGTGTTTAATATGATTAATTCACTTTTTAATTTTTCTCTTGTTTTTCTCTGTAATTAGTAAAATTCTGGAGAAATGGATCTGCTGGAGAAGGACCCCTAATCTGAAAAGTGCCCAGCGGATCATCAGGACAGAGCTGCCATCCACCTGGACACCCCGTGGTGCTGAAGAAAGCAAAACGGCGATCAGGAACATCCTCCACCCAGACCTCTGCTTACTGCCGTCCTACATACTTGTGTGTCTTAGTTTCAGAATATGATTTTGTATGTGTCCTTTCTTTGAATAGATATGTAACGATTATAGCTTGAGTCTGTCTGATTCCCCAAACAACTGCTTCTATATACTTGCTGCACATATAATTCAAATAAACAACTGCATAAACACACTTTTGCTGATATTTGTTTTACTGCTGGTGATGTTAAATAACATGATTGATTTGCTCTGTCTCAATGATGAAAGTTATAATAATAGAAGACATGAAGCTGCAGAGAGAGGATGGATATATTCTTACCTCTACTTTGTGATAAGATGAAAATACAATATTAAATTGTAATTGTTAAACACATTGTTTATTTCATTTACTGAGGTTTTAACCATTATTTACAACATGTGTAGATAAGCAGTGGAATAATAGGATATCTCTAGGTCATTAAACTGTCTTCAGTTTAATTTTATTAATACAAAAAATAGGTCATAGAAAATGTTTAATTGTGTATTTCAGCAGAGCGGGGGATCACGGTGCTGCTGGACCTGGAGGTGCTGACCTGGGGTCAGTGGGACATCATCTGGGCAGGTTTAGGGGAAGAAGGAGAATATAAACTGTTATGATCACAGCTATTAAGATTAGAACACTAATATTGTTAAGAATCAATCTATACAACATGCTTTGGTTCATTTAAAAAACATATTGTTTTATTAGTACAGAACAATTAAGACTTATTTTAAATAAATAATATGATTAAATTACATCAGCTATATATAATTTACTTGTTAACTTACTAATGTAACATTACTGGGGGCTAAAGGAACAGCTTCATCTTATTTACCTGGCCATGGTCCTCTTTAATTCATCGCCGACGGTGATCTCCAAAAAATGTAAAAGTAAAAGTAACGTTTCTGGATCCTTTTCAGCTGAGTTAGCTTGTAAGCTAATTTGCTAGCAGGCTGCTGGAGCAGCGCAACCGAACAGCGCGTATCACGTGACATAAATACGAAGCGCTCCGTAGGCTAGACCGTCTCATTTCGTAGGCCGCTCGGTCCAGCCTACCCGGTCTACGTGGGCTTGGTCCTCCGTGGACCGCGTAGGCTGCGTACTCCGAAGGGTGCAGCCCCTGAATTGAGACACGGCCACGTCTGCTCAGAGGGTGGAGGAGGAGGAAGAGGGAGGAGGGGAGGATCCATGGTCACATGATTTACAAAAACAGTTTGCGTGTACACAAAAACCGAGAGAGACACCAAACCAACTGAGACCTGTCTGTCCGCTGCATCTACGCACACACTGTACCACACACACCTACACCACACACGCACCTACACACTGTACCCTACACACTGTACCACACACACCTACAGCTCCTAAAGCATATCATCAGGCTACAGCAGTTGTGTATTTTATTATGTGAAGCACTAAATGGTTTTAGAAACATCTGGACTCTTTGTTTGTAGATATCTACTAAACTAAAGCAAATAAAGAGAGTAGGCCTGTTATACTGAGTGATATATATTATACACACTGCTCTGCTTTCTGCACGGACCTCACAGCTGTTCTCACTGTAAACATCGCGTCGCGATGAAAGCAGTTAATAAAATAATATCCAGGGGATGCATGCTGAGCTGTGATTGGCTGAGATCAGTCCGGCCGTGCGTCACGACTCTTTGAAACATCACTGTTCCCGGAAATGCATCCACGAAGGAGCCGTGGAGGACCGTGGAGGACCCATCAGTGTATCCTCGGTTATAGCTCCTCCAGAGAGCCTCCTCGACGCTCGATGCTGGGTCCTCGATGTGCATTTAGAGAAATGAGATGTCCTTCAACATGGCGCGCTAAAATTCATTTCCGGGTCACTACCGGAGGACCGAGGAGTCGAGGAGTCGAGGAGGGGGATTTGATGAAATGAGAACGGCCCATAGTATACAATGTTTATATTATGTACACATCAATGATATTCCAGTGATAAATATAATATTATTCTGAAAATCACTTTTCTGCAAAAAATAGTGCATTTAGTGTTACTTTAAGATATCATGATACTTGTACTTTTACCTAAGTAAAATACCTTAGGACCTTTTCTACAATAATGACACTTAATTCTTAATTTGTGTCCAGCAGAGGGCAGTGTTGCTTACTTATTCATTATTATTATTTATTCTGGCAGCTCACTGCTTGTTTCTTTTATTTTGTATATATATTCATTTATAATTATTATTATTTATAAATAATTATAAAACACATGAGCTAACCAACTCAGTATAAGGATTATAAATTAGTAAATAAAAGCAAAAGAATAATAAAAAGAATAGGGATGAATACGTTTCATAAATATCAAATAATAGACAAATATATTCTTAAATTATTTCTTCAAACAATTTGACACCCAATTGCTTTTTAGTATTTAAATGTATATCAAAAATATTCTATACCATACAAACCAAATTATATTGGTTACATATACAGATAGATTTATATAAAATGTACCAAATAAAGTTAATGAACCATGATTGTTGTTAAGGCTTATATATACAATAACAATTTTATCATGAAAAGTGTATTGTTGTTTATTATTAAGATCATTTTACATTAATATAATAAGAGGAAGTGTTAGAGACAGGCTTTTGTTTTGGTCAAAGTAATATTGCCATCTAGTGGTGACCTTGTGTACTGCATGGTGAATAAAAGACTACAATTCCCATGTTGCAGCCAATTAAGAGACAGAGGTAGTCAACCTGTGTGGAAGATGCCGACACAATTATTACAATTATTTAACGTTAATCATCCAACAGAATATATAAAGACAATCTTAGTTTGCTTCAATAAACGCTTTCATGTGAGTTGTGCCTCTTGTGTTGTTGACTCTGACTGAAAGAGTATTTTCTGAGTCTAATTTGTGTGGAAACTATTTTATTTTGATTAACCGCACAAGCCTTGTAGCCAAGAGTAAAACTGATAACCTGAAGGATTAGTAGATGTGTTTCAAAAGGTGTTCAGAGTGGTTGAAGGAAGCGGTGACAGGAAGGAAACGCTGGTGTGAGCTATACTTTCAGAGAAACAGTTTGATGTCACATCACAAAGAGGTACAATGGATCCAACAAGTCTTCAACGCCTCGTCTGTAAGTACAATCTTTATACTGTTAGCATGACCCAGGTAAAAAAACTTTATGCTTAAATTATACTTTTTAAAGAATGTACTAAGTACACTTTTAGGATAAATGTGCTATTTTGGTCGCATTCAAGTATACTAAAGTGTACTACTTAAGCATTAGTTGAGTATATTTGAAGTGTAAATTGTGTGCTAAATTGGCACAACTTTATGTAAACTTTAAGTGTACTGAAGTACACCAGTTAAAATCATGATTTGTGTGCATTCGAAACACACTTTAAGTACAATTGTATTATATCATCAGTGTGTTGGAAATATACTTAAAAAGGCATTCAGCTCAATTCATAGTGTATAAGTGTGTTTTGAACATTATCATACTTATTCAAGCACACCTGTTATATTTCAAATTAACTTCAAATGCACTTTCTGACTGTATTTAATACTTTTAAATTGTGCTATTATGTTAATAAAAATGTATTTATAGTAAGGTTCTATCACAATTTAAGCACCATAAATCCATGTATTTTAAGTATAATGTTATTATACTATAATGTAATAATAATAATAATAATAATGGGTTCCATTTATAAAGCACTTCATATTTGATATCAAATCCCGAAGTGCTACAAGCAGTGAGCATGAACAGTATAAAATAGACATTACACAACACAGTAGAATTAATAAAAAGCAATAAAAAAATAAATAAAAGGATGGTAAAAAGGTCTGGGCAAAGGCTCTTTTGAAGAGATGGGTTTTGAGGCCTTTTTTAAAAGCCTCCACGGTCTGTGGTGCTCTCATGTGGTCGGGGAGAGCATTCCACAGACTGGGAGCAGCCGAGCAGAAGGCCCGGTCTCCCATGGTACGGAGCTTAGTCCTGGGGGGTTTGAGCAGGTTGGAGTTGCTGGAGCGGGTGGTCCGCAAGGAGGTATGGGTGGTGAGGAGTTCCTTGAGGTAGGGAGGGGCAGTTCCATGGACACACTGGTGGGTGAGGACGGAGACCTTGAATTCGATCCTCAGTTCCACGGGGAGCCAGTGTAGTGCTTTAAGGATGGGGGTGATGTGGTCATATTTGCGCACCCTCATCAGGATCCTAGCAGCGCTGTTCTGGATGTACTGGAGCTTCTGGATGCTTTTGTTAGGGATCCCGATGAGGAGTGCATTGCAGTAGTCCAGCCTGGAGGAGACAAAGGCGTGGACCAGTTTTTCGGCGTCGGACAGAGTGAGTGTGGGGCGGAGTTTGGCGATGTTCCTGACGTGATAAAAGGAGTTCTTGCACAGCTGTTTAATGTGGGCCTCAACGGTCAGATGGGCGTCCATTTTAACACCCAGGTTGGTGACTATTGAGGAGAGGGTAATGTCCTGGCCGGAGAAGGTGATGGTGGTGATGGTGGATGACTGAACCTGGTGTGGGGTGCCAACTATAATGGCTTCGGTCTTGGAGCTGTTGAGTTTCAGGAAGTTTTGCTTCATCCACACCTGCATCTCCTCCAGGCAGGCAGTGAGTGTGGGTGAAGGCAGGGCTGCAGAGGAGGTAGGGTTGATCCTGAGGTACAGTTGGGTGTCATCAGCGTAACAGTGGAATGATACTCCATGTCGGCTGATGATAGAGCCAAGGGGGAGCATGTAGAGTGTGAAGAGGGTGGGGCCGAGAACTGATCCTTGAGGGACACCACAGGTGACGTTGTGGGTACCCGACTCTGCCTCGCCCAAGGAGACGTACTCTGTTCTCCCGGTGAGGTATGATCTGAACCAGTCAAGGGGAGAGTCAGAGAGTCCGATGGTGGAGTGCAGACGATGGAGGAGGATGCCGTGATCGACGGTGTCGAAAGCTGCAGTGAGATCGAGGAGGATGAGGAGAGAGGGAGAGCCAGCATCAGCCGTCATCAGCAGGTCGTTGGTGACCCTGACCAGGGCAGTTTCTGTGCTGTGGCCTGAGCGGAAACCAGACTGGAACTTCTCAAATAGGTTGTTGGAGTTTAGATGGTCCTGGAGCTTTTTCCAGCTCCTTGGATAGAAAAGGAAGGTTGGAAATGGGTCTGTAGTTGGCCAGGACTCCCGTGTCAAGGGAGGGTTTTTTGAGACGAGGTTTGATGACAGTGGTTTTTAGGGCAGAGGGGACATGGCCAGCCTGGAGAGAGAGGTTTACGATCTTAGTGATTATGGGGCTCATGGTACAGATGTACGATTTCACAAGAGCTGACGGAAGGGGGTCCAGGACACAGGTGGAGGGCTTCATCCTCCTAACGATGCCCTCAACCTCCCGCTGAGAGATGTCCGTGAAACAGCGAAGAGGCTGGGTTGTCCCAGGCTGTGGGTCAGCAGTTGGAACTGGAGGTGTAGAGGGGCTAGAGAGGAGGGAGAGGATGGTGTCAACTTTGTTTGTGAAGAAGGCGGCGAAGTTGCTACACTGCTTCTCAGTGGAGTCGGAGTGTAAAGGACTTTGGGGTTTGAGGAGGTGGTTAATGGTGGAGAAGAGTTGCTTGGAGTTTCCAGTACTGTTGTTGATGAGGGAGGAGTAGTACTGGGACCGTGCATCTCTGAGGGACTGTGCGTAGGCCTTCTGGTGTTCACGATAGGCTAACTGGTGAACAGTGAGTCCTGAGGCCTTGAGCTGCCACTCAAGGACACGCCCAGCTGTCTTCATTCTCCGCAGCTCGCCGGTGTACCAAGGGGCTGAGCCCGAGAAGGTGACCATCCTGGTTTTGAGGGGGGCGTGCAGATCAAGGAGACGGTTAAGGGACTGGTTGTAATATGCAACTGACTCATTTACTGATGAGAAGTTGGCGGAAGAAAGATGCTGGAGGTCCAGGGTCATGGTGTCCGGGTTGATGTTCCTCAGGTTCCTGAAGCGGATTTGGCGTTTGGGCATGCTGAGTGGGGACTGGATAAAGAGCTCCTTTATCTAGTCAGCAGGCTACTCAAAGCGCTTTTACACCACATATCACATTCACACACTGATGGCGGGAGCTAACCATCAGAGGTAACACATTCACTCACATCCACACACCAATGCGCAGCATTGGGTGCAATTTGGGGATGGGGCCCAAATTACTTACATATCAAAGTCTTTTCATCTGCAAGATGGAAGAATAGCTGGGTGCTGCCTGGAGAGACTGATGAGAGGGACACAGGCTGGCATCAGCAGCTTTCCACACCATCACATCTTCTCTTCCATAGTCTTCACTGTCCACTGGTGCTCTGTCAAAAGAGTGAACATCACAGCTGTCATGTTAACCCTTTGTTACACAACATACAACCAACATGCGTCAAAAGTGACCCGAATTAGTTTTAATTGTAAATATCTTCGCAATAAATTACTTTAACCATTCAGGGTTCCAGGTATTCCTCAATTAACCTGTTTTGGATCAACACCAATTCTAATTTTTATTTTTCCTTTCTTACTTTTTGAATACAAATCATGTTTGTATCACTACACTTCTAAGGCACAACATGGGTCAAAAATTATCCTTATTCTTTTGCTATGTTATTTCATGCATGGCTGAGTGTTTCTTTACTATACATTTTCAAATCTATTTCTTTAGTCATTAATATTCAAAGTATTAATTAAATACCTTGTTTTTGATTACCACAAATCATTATTTTCATTCTCCTGTTCTTAAATGATGAACTAAAATAGTTTATGCCAAGTGTGATAAAAATGCAAAACAAATAATTTTGTTAAAAATATTAATTTTAGCAGTGATTTGGACCAAGCATGTATGATGTAGTAATACAACAACTATTTGAGTTCACACACTGTGACATTAGCTAGTCATGTTAGCTTGTAATATATAGAGCAGAGCTAACTAGCAAGTTAACCAAACGTTAGCGGTTAGCGGTTTATGCTATGCTAGCTGTTGGCTACTGAACATTAACAAACTGGATTCCGCTGTAAGAAAGCTGTGAAACTTTACAGTAAACTTGGCGACAACACTGTGACACCCCGCTGTTTATGTGTAATTCTCCCGTGTTGGAGACGAGAGGGTGGAGCGGCAGCACTGCAATAAGCTGTAAGCTAACGTTAGCAGCTAACGTTAGCAGCCACCTGTTAAGCCCGGTTTCCCCCGACGGTGGGGAAAGGCGCAACATCTTGCAAGCAACAGCATCTCAGGGCTTCTTAACATTTAACAACCTATTAATGATGCATATCCACTTAACGGGAAGAAACTCAGCAAACTGACGATATTAACCATCTTTACCTAAACGAAATTCATGTCTAACGCCAAGCTCTAAATCAGCACTTAGCCAAAACGGGCTAATGGGGCTAACGCTACTTTAGCACATTACTGGCAAAAGCGATCTTTTCTACTTCATGCTCTCTGCACACACGTATCATATGAAAGCTGAGATTCCACAGATTCCATATGTATATGTCTCATCACTGTACGACCACAACTCACTGAACTAGAAGAAGAAACGTAACCTTAAATACAAAATAAAACATTCACAAACTAAGGATTATCTAAATACATGTTTAACTCCATTACAGTCGCAGGACTCACCAGATCTCAAGTCTTCTGTTCTTTGTTGACGTCCCGATGCTCATATTTAACGTGTAGATGTAAAACGATGCAGATATTAATCCATAAACTCCTGCAGCAGACATACAGACAGAGTGAGCAGCAGCTGCGCAGGAGGAGAGCCGCTCAAACTGACGTGGAAGTTTCAAATTGGATTGACAGGCGCGGACAGTTCTCATTGGCAGGTTTCTTCGATAAAGTTTATATTAACCAATCAGGAGTATTGTGGACTCATTCCAATCCTGCTTGTAGTTTCTGGTACAATTCACTGTGTTTTAGTCCAGGAGTTTCTGAAGTCTGGAAGGAAGCTGTACAGAGACACAACATTTCATTGCATCAAGCTTCATGTATGAAGTGTCTGAGTGCAACAATGTGTATGCCATACATCCAGACTCATTGACATTCAAATGTGTCATAATTAAGTCGAGGGAGAAGATATATGTTATCCCTCTACCAAACAACATTGAACAAGACTGATTTGACTGGACATCAAGGAAGCCTCAAGAACTAATTCAGACTATAGGCTTGATGTAATTCACCGGATAACAAATGAGATTAAATAATGAGCCTATAATGGGAAAATAAGAGTACTAATTTCCAATTCTGTGCACAAAGAATTCTGTAATTTTGATGTTCTGCTCCTTAGTATTTTGTAATGTACGAATCCCTAGTAGATTGACTTGTTAAGTACACACCTGTAGTAGAATGTTGAATGGGATGTACCAATGTGTTTTAGGAACCTGTTCTGAACCTGACATACATAAGTGCCTTCTGTCAAGTAAGTCTTTGTGCATTAATACATGATGGTAATAGTCCAGACCTATACACTTCCCAGAGGTGTAAACAAAGTACACTATCCACAAGTGTTATAAAATAAACACTAACAAACAAAGTACACTGAAGTACAGTTTAAAATGAACTAACATTAAAGTGCACTGTTTGTAAGTATACTTATGTACACTTCTAATGAAGTGAAATTCAAGTCTACTTAAATAAAGCATACTAATAGGGTATTACAAAGGACTTGCAAATATTTAACTTTTCAAAAGTAGGCTAACGTACCACTATAAGTATTTGCAAGTTAATATACTTTTTAAAAGTACAATGAAGTACAATTTAAGAAAAATGTATATTAAAGTGCACTTTTTATAAGAGTACTTAAATACACTTCTAACAAAGTGAAATTAATGTACACGTTAATAAAGCATGCTAATAGGGTATTACAAAATACTAAAAAATAATTGTACTTTCGATCAGTATACTTAACGACCACTATAAGTATTTGCGATTTAGTACGTAGTAGCGAAAGTGTACTTACTTACAATTCACAATACACTTAGATTCAAGAACACTTTTAATAAGCACACTGAAATACCATTTTAAGTATATCAGAAATAGTATATTTATTTTTAGTACATTGAAACTTTTTAAAACTACATTTTAAACATACTTTCAATTAAGCACAAAAAGTAAAAGTATACTTGTATATACTTTCGTATACTTAAATTATATTTCTAATACACTAAAGTATACTACTTTTTGACCTGGGGAGGGAAGACGTTCAGATATCATGAAAACATCTGAGAGTTCACTGACCTTCACAACAAGCATCCAGAGTCTGGAGAGATGTAACTCTCTGTACTGTTTGGTACGTTCAGGAGAAACTGCAAACTAATATGATTGTTGTGGTGCATTCAAGTTCCTGCTAAAAGAGAAGTCTGGTATTTTCTCAGACTTCTATCCAGTCTGACTCGTGCTAACTTTGCACTACATTCATGTGTTCTAAAAGCACCATACAGACCTGTTGAAGTGTCCTGTGTGTCGCAGTGAACTCACACTAACCTGTGGTTTCTCCTCAGTCCTCACCTCCCTGCTGAGCTGCTCCACTAACCAGGGTCAGTACACTTTCTCTGTCTTAGAAACTCAAAGCTGTGTCTCTGTTGACCTGATGCATCACTTTAGTCTCAGAGTAACTGAACTCTTTTCTGTCCTCACATACTGAACTCTGCATCGCATGTTAGATTCATCAGTGAACATATCAGTGGCTTCTTCTTCTTCAGTGTTTTATAAATCTTCCTCCCTGCAGCTTGTCTCAAGGTGACTCCCAGCAGATCTCAGATATTTAAATATGAACCTCTCTCTCTGAGATGTGAGGACGCCTCTGATGGATGGACTGTGAGGAGAAACACGAGCATTGAGAAAATAACTGAGTGTGGAGTCGACAAGTGGGGAAAATCTGCTGGTTCCTCCTGTAATGTCAGCTCCATGGACCCTTTGGACAGTGGAGTGTACTGGTGTGAGTCCACAGAGGGATCCACCAGTAACACCATCACCATCACCGTCTCTGGTAAGATCAGCCTCTCTGTTTCCTCATCAATACTAAAAAATATTTGTGAAGGTTAATCCGAGAGAGGAAACTGGACGACCTCAGAGCTGCTAGCTTGTGCTAACCACAGGGTGCAAAACACACATTCTCACACAGCACAACACACACTATCATCCACTAAAGACACCTCAGTACAGTCTCATACTTTAGGGGCTGGTAAAAACTGATGTTTAACATATTATTTATTTCTAAAATATAATTATTTTAGAGAGAAAATGCTCTTTTTCTATAGTGTCCTCTTAAGTACTTAAACTCCAGATGGTCCTCACAAGGATATACGAACAAGAATACAGTCCCTGGAAATCATCAAATAATCAACACTTCGTCTGATTTGCTCCAGATTCAAAGGTTTTAATGTCATATGAACATAAGCTGCAGTGTAGAAATCTTATGACCCGAGCTTCTCCAACGATGCAATATAATAAAATGTGGTTTCTGTCTCTGTGTTCAGGTATAGAGTTTATCCTGTCAGAGTAGATGTTGTTTCTGTCTCTGTGTTCAGGTATAGAGTTTATCCTGTCAGAGTAGATGTTGTTTCTGTCTCTGTGTTCAGGTATAGAGTTTATCCTGTCAGAGTAGATGTTGTTTCTGTCTCTGTGTTCAGGTGGATCAGTGATCCTGCAGAGTCCTGTCCTCCCTGTGATGGAGGGAGATGACGTCACTCTGACCTGTAGAACAAAGATGGCCGACCCCCCCTCTGCTGATTTCTACAAAGATGGCGTCTCCATCAGGAATGAGTCTGATGGTCACATGACCCTCCACCATGTTAACAGGTCTGATGAAGGCCTCTACAAGTGTAGCGTCCAGAGTAAAGGAGAGTCTCCAGAGAGCCGGCTGTCTGTCTCAGGTGAGGAGCTTTCCTTTGGTTTCAGGACTCATTCCTTCAGATGTTCACCTGACCAGGTGTGATTCTCTCTGCAGAAAAACCTACCACCACTTCCTCTCCTCCTACATCCACCATGGACCCGACCACAACCCAACCTCATTCCCGCTTCCTCCATATTGTGTTCAGGGTGATCTGCCACCTGGTGGTCTTCTGCCCGTACTGCATCTCCACTTTCCTCATGGTGTCTATATATCGAGAGAGGGCCAGAGGTAACTTCTCTCAGTTTCTACATCTAAAGGGATTTAATATCAGCCAGAGCTCTTAATACGTTTTCTACATTTTCTTTCTGACAACAGGAAGTGACCCGTCTGTCTCCATGGCGATGACCCCGCCCACCCATGCTGAGCAGGGATTGGACGACGACTACGATGATGTCTTGTCTGCTGTCACCACGGAGCATCAGTTCTGACCTGATCTTAAGATCCAACATCCAAACATTTTATTTTTGTATTCTCTATTTTCTTATTTGAAGCGTTGTACTGCTTACATCGGACCAAATCAGATTAACATAGTTTTAATGTATTTCATATGAATTGTTACAGTCAGTACTATTCAAGAGGAATATATTTGAATCCGTCACAATGTTTGTAAACAGTTCAACAAAAGGCTCAAATTAAACTTCCTTTTTTTCGTTATAAAGCAGAAAAAAGCACATTGCCTATTGTAAATAAAATATATAAATATATACTGATTTCTTTGTAGTAATTTGCTAAATTCTTATTGTATTTCCTTTTTTTTGTATATTTTATTTGGTGTAAAAAAATGTTATAATACATTTAATAATATCAATTACTCAAATAAATACATTTCTAATAATATTTCAACTTGTTCTCCTATTGTATGTATGCACTAAATACAATTCCTTGTGAAAACCTGCTAGACTAACCTTAGAAAAAAATCCCAAATCTTCCACAGCTGGTTTTTAAACATGATTTATTTAGGGGAATACAGGTAAACACTTTATAAACCTCCAATCTCAAACCTGACTCAGTGGTCCAGAGTGTGATAGTGTGAGACAGTATTAGATGTATTGTTAGTATCTAACCGAGCAGCAGGGGGCAGCAGAGCTCTGCAGATCAACCTTTATCATCAGGGTTAAAACATGAGTTCAGAATCTACCAGTGTATTCTATATGAACATGCATCGCAGCATGAAGAGTCATGAAGTCCCTCTTTCTAACTCAAACTAATGATAACAATGAGTGAACCGTTCAGATCGAGCTCCAAGCACACATTTCCTGGATCCGTGAACTTCCTGGTTTTACATGTTATTTGTAATACAATACGATATACTGTATTGTCCCCGTAAGGACATTTGTTCTGGACTGTGAAATGATACCGTTTCCAAATCGTACTATGCCGTACAATTATTGAAATGTCTGCATGCATAACACGGCATAACACCGCCCCCCCCTCCCCTCGTCAGCGCAACGAGGGGGGTCAAAAAGTACACAGTAAAAGTACTTCATTGTATTTGTGGTAATAGTCTAACAAGTACTGAGTCCAACAGTACCAATTTTATTAAGAATTGATGGCTAAAAATAATTGTATCTCTCATCAAATATAGCAGAAGTGGCATGATTTGGTTCTCAGGAGGGGACTTAGAGAGAGTATTACTCAAAAAGTACACAGTAAAAGTACTTCATTTTATTGTTGGTAGCAGTCAAACTAGGACTGACTCAAACAGTGTCAGTTTTATTAAGAATGTATGGTACACATTATTTGTATTGCAAATAAAGCAGAAAAAACATGCATTATTTTACTCTTGCACAGCGATTACCGTAAAGGCACTTTAATCGCGCACCGCTTTGAACAAAAACAGAAGCACAAACTGACAAAGGAGACCTGTTGCACAACCCTCATGGCCAACATTTAAAAGTATATTACATGTGAGTGTTGTTGGAGCAGAACACCTCTGCTACGCGCCGTTCGTTGGATGAGGCTGGATCTCTATTAAATTAAGAAAGGAATTGAAAACACCGGAATCAAAGTTATAACAAATTATCTGAGTTTACTTCTGGTAGGAAACCAAACACATATACAAGTTATACAGAGTACTCGAGTACTCCGGACTTCAGGTTTGTGATGCGATGCGGATAAAGGTGTCAGGACCATCCAACTCATCAAACAAAAAGAAATTGACTTCAGGTTTGTGATGCGATGCGGACACAGATATCAGGACCAACCAACTCACCAAACCAAAAAGCATTTTACACTCAAAAACAACAGTATACATATCCCTATTTTGGGGCGGAGATGTGTTCACTTGTTCCCTCCCCCTTTTATTCGACAGCGAATTAGAGAGCCCCTGGGGAGGAGCTGTGTAAACTGCTCACCTCCCCCAAGTGTTCTTACTGGTTGGATTCACATCTGGTCGGGTTCAATCAGAGTTCTGACCAGAACGTGAGATCCTAAGTTTCACCAGGTCAAAAGTCAACGTTTATCTCCACCCTATCTACACTACATTCCCTTCCCATGGGGGTTTTTCACATAAACCATCCCTCCTCCGACATTTTAACTTTAGTGCACCCATATAAAGAGGTCCATAACGACCTTAAAACAACATCTGTATGTGGAGGTGAAGGGGACATGTGTGTGTATAACACAAGATCTCTGGGTCAGTGAGTTTAAAAGTGAGAATAACATTCCTATTCTAAGTGATTATCAAAACCCGTTGTGATTACCTAAAACAGTTCAAACAATACATGTTCACTCAAATACAATTCAAAATAATACATGTTTACTTCAATACAGTGTAGAATCATATCTTTTTACTTCAGTGTTGAGAAGCTTAATGGACAGAGGCAGGAATGAGTGCTTATAGCGGTTCAGACTGATCTTGGGAACCCTGCATCTTATCTGTAAACTGTAAAGAAGTTCGGAGGGAAGAGATGTGCATTAAAAACCTGCTGACACACAAACTGAGCAGAGTGTGTGTCAGTTTGTTTCACAATAACAACACTTTGACCTCATTTCAATCGGTTGCAACAGGTCGCATAACACCGACATGTTTCTGCAGAGACAGAGGAACTGAGCCAAGAAAAACAGCCGCCATAAAACTGCTCGTGCTTTATTAATCTGCACATCTACTCTCTGATTTCAGGAGTTTTTATACGTTTTAAAGCCTATTTTCCTCCTCTCCTGCTTCGCACTATGAAAGCACGCTCTCACCGTGGAGGAGGTGAAACTAAATCAAGGTTTTTGATGGAAGTTGACATTTAAACGAGCCTTTTATCTCACAGAAACATGTGAAGAGATGAACTGATGCCAAACAGGATGGTGTACATACTTGGAGGTTACACACACACACCCATATTAAACAGACACACACACGCACACATATTTAAATCCTCCAATCAGCAACTTTATTGAATGTGTGCTCTACTGTAACTGTGTGTTGAAATATAAGAAAAGTTCAAATGACTCAAAATTCAAAATGAAGCCTTTTTAATACAGTTTAAATAAATAAAAAAATAAACACTTTTTGAATCTGAAAGCATTTTTTAACTTGATATAATAATTAAATATTTAAAGAGAAATTACAAATTAATACAATTATAAAAACACCCCCAAAAAAGTATCAAACTTATACATCATAATCATATTAGGGGTGGATATATTATA